AGCAGAGGTGAGGAGCATTGCCTCTTGTTCTTTCTCAGGGGCTGGAATTTTGCATTTCTTTGTTAACTGGGCCTCCCAGCCCACAGTGTATAAAGCCCACAGTTTGCCAAGAACACAGCAGAGACTCTTTTGCAAGCACATTGCAACGGCAACATTTTGTTTCATTTCTGTGATCTGCCTGTTGTTCTGAGATTTAAATTTTTATCTTGACTTTTAAGTATCTAAGTTAGTAGCCTTTTTATTTAGAAGATACTATTTTCTCTGGTATTCACTACAATTGGCTGTTTTGAGTATGCCGGGAGCTTAGTCAGCTGTTAGTACAACTGGGAGGCTGAGACTTGTTTTTCTTCTTTTTATCCCTTTCACCCAGTGGAAGGTTTCATGCTGCTCACTCTACTGATATTTGATATCCTGCCTCCAACTGATGTTCATCTTTAACTTGCTTTTAAAGAACATCCTGTGAACTAGCTCTGTTAATTATCGCTCATTTTGTCTTTTTTTTTTAACTGTATTGCAAGATATTTTGGAGGTGTTACTTCTCAGGAGAATGATTTTTTTTCTGGTCTGACTCCTTCTTCTGTAATCAAAAAAAAAAAAGTCATGTTCTCATGCTTTTTAACCATGTATTTATTTAATCTACAGAATTAAAAGAATGCTTACAGTAAACAAAGGAGCCAGTCAGCAGTTTTTCAGAACGTCTGTTACAAGTAATATTGTAATGCAATGAAAAGAGAACTTGAGAGATTTCTTGAGTTTCTCTTGATGTGGTTTACATTCTAATAGATTTTCCTGATAATCATCATTCCTCCTTTTTTTAATTTTTAATGAGAAATGATCTTTCTGGCAACAACATCAACTGCCTATATTGGAAAGACACAGTAGGAAGCCCTTAATATGAAGTTATTGATCATTTAATAAAATGTATCACTATAAGCCATGCTAAAAACTGTCTCATGAGCAAATGAATAAAACATTTCTAAAACTTTATTCTACCATGAGTGTTGAACACCCTGGTTATCTTTACAAGTATTTCTTTCCCACTGGCAGTAACTTAAGGGTCTTTGGGAACAGGAGGCTTTAATCCGTAGACAACACAATGAGTATATAAAAACAGAAATACCCAAAGAATATTTTAAAGATAGATAGATTGCTCCTACAATCACATGGATTAATTGCCCCAAATTGTGTATTTATAAAAACATCTGCAATATCATCCATGGATCGTTAGTGGCTATGTGGAACTTATGAGATTGCTCCTCTGTGATAGTCAGTTCTGGTCAGTTCTAGTTCAAAAACCATTGTCTTGCTTTGCTTTGCTCAGTTAAGTTGTATAAAGTCATTGGCTCAAGGTCACGAGGTCAACTTCTATGTGATCCCTAAGTGATCACCAAAACAGCTCTGCCACAGCCCCAACCAGATCCTATCCTACAAGCCAGTACCACACATGAGCCAGACTCTTCCATGAGGAAAGTACAATAAACCCAGACATTTGATCCTTCAGAACGTGTAAAAAAGAATATTTAAAACACTTTGATTAATTTGGGGTCATGCCTCAGTTGCAGTTCACTTCCTGTCAGTCAGAGATTTACTTTTCCTCAACTATACTTTTCATAGTATTTGTAAAAAAGTTCTCCTTAATCGTGTGTATATGAAAGTCAGTGCCAAGAGCCAAACCTTTGGCAGAAAGTATTTATTCATACAGTACCATATCCCTTGCTTACTGTTTCATAAAGCAAACTCATAAGTTAGCATCCAGACATTTTCTGCATTTCTGCTATTCTCTGACATATTTCTACTCTCTTGTTTTTGTAGTGTTTTTCAGCATTCTTTCCTCAGCTAGCTGTTCAAATCTGATCCTAATAATTCAGCAGGTGTTTTCATAAAGAGATAGATGCTTCTCTGAGAAAGAAATGCTCAAATCCAGGAGGTTTTACCTGGTGAAAAGAGTCTGGGAAAAAGCTGTATTTCATATGGGGAAGGATCATAGAACACAGAAACAAAGAACCAGGGCATTTTTGATGAGGTCCCTGAAAGTGGTGTGATCAGAAAACAGGATCAGAAAAAGGTTAATAATTATGAAACATAGTTACTATAAGGTTTGGGGTTTGAATACTAAATCAGGAAACAGTCTTAGTTTTAAGCACAAGACAGTAAATAACAGAAAAGCTGCATGGTAGAGAAGCTTAGGCTCAAAGTTCAAGAAGCAGCTGAAATGGCCACAAAAGTATCTATGGAGATACACTTCCTGTGTCTTTGACCCAATTTTACAGAAATAAATTCAAGTTTTATATGAGAAAAATATGTTTCCATGTGGACACAAGGTGGGTGAATGCAGTACAAACAGGTTAAGAATAAGATAAGCAGTTTCTATAGACACTGTTTGTGGAATTCTTTTCTTTTTTGAAAAACATAATCATTACTTTTATGTCTCTTATCAAGAAAACATGGAATTCACTACAATAAAACTTACGTCCAATGAATTTAAAATAAATAAGAGGAAACCTTTTTGAACTGTGATAGGTCTGTGGAAAACACTGCTTTGGGCAGTTAGTTAAAATTCTGTGGCTGAATAATTTTATGGCTGATAATAATATCTGCAGGTACAGTACATGCCAAGATAAGGATAATTAAGACAAGGGTAATTAAATCTTATTCTTGTTAGGTATAAACTAAATGGTCTAAAAGACAGGAGGGCATTTTTTCTTCCAAACTTTATTTTAGGTGCAGCATTGCATACTTGTTTAGGGACTATTAGAGCCTGTTTCACCTTTTTGGTTTTTGGAAGCCTTTGGTTCTTGGATACTTCTGATAATAGGACAGTGGATCACCAGTATCATCTGGCATCAGGTTATTTTTTGGTGACCTTGGTGGAAAATCAAAAGGCCTACTAGTCATACATAAATGTTTCAGTACATTTTGAATTTCTAAGCCTAGTGCACCTTAAGAATTCAAATTTGTTTCTACATTAAGCATTCAGCACACATGCTTCTGAACGTCAGTGTGGAGATCAGAGAGAAAGAGAGTTCCGCCTCTGAACGTTTCTTCGCCCTTAATGAGCTTCCTAGCCGTTCACTGGCTGCTGAGGAAATCCAGGTCCTTAGAGGGTTCTGGATAATTCTCAGTGTCATTTTATATACAAGCCTAACTATGTATCAACGGTGCTGCATCCGTGGAACACACATGTATTAGCTTTTAGCTTCTATATCTCTGTTTTTACAATTGCACCCTGATAGGGCGTTATCTTTTTTTTTATATAATCTTGTCTGATAATCTTGTCTGACCGTGCGCCAAATATGATGTAGTTGCTAGAAAAGGCAAAAGGAATCCAAAGGAATCCTAGAATGTATCAAGCAAGGTAGTCCCAACAGAGATTAGGAATTAGGGGTTATATAAAAGCACTGTTGAGATCTCATCTGAAGTACTGTGTACAATTCTTGTCCCATACGTTGAAAACTGAAACAGGTATGGATAAGGGATAACAACATGACTGGGCAAATGGAGACGCATAGTCTCTTATAAGAGGAGTCTGGAAGAGCTTGGCTAGTACTATTTAGTGAAAGAAAGTACTGTGTGAACAGAAGTATCCTTTAGAAAAACATTAGGGCAGATATACCCTGAAGAGAAAGGACCTATTTAGGCTAAAAGACAATATTGGTATGTGTAAAATAGGCATAAACAGCCGTTGAAGTTCTAGTTAGAAATTTCAAACTATGCAATGAGATTATGAAACAGCCTTCAAGTATAGTAATAGGGACGGGAATTGTCTTTGAATTTAAGTCCAAGCTTGACTTTGTTATTAGGATTAACCATCTGATCTTTTTCTGAACCTAAGCAAGAGGGATATTTCATAGTGGTTGCTTTTTAAAGCTTCAGTACATTTTATACGCATACCTAACTGCTTCCCAAAATGCACTCTCTTAATCCAGAAAAAAATGAAAGAATGAGTTTATCTACCAGTTAACTAGCTGTATATTATCTTCTGAAGAGACCAACAGACATAGTTTAATTACAAGAAACTTGATATTTTTGTCCAGTTTGATACTGAATGAAGAGGAATGGGCTTTTTAATATTTGATAGCATATCATCTTTAAAAAAAATCAGACAATCTGTGAGTTCATTCTGATCAGAGAGGGAAGTGGAGAACAACAGCTAGATAGTTAGCTGTACTTTAAATTTAGTGTCCTGCTATTTTCAGTCGTGGCAGTTTGGAATGAGAAAAGATGCACAGAAGCATGTCCCTGTCTAGATCCAGCCCACCTCCAATTTTGAGTTTTGGTACCATACGATGATCTAGTGTGGCTAAAACATAATCACTCTTTCCAGATTACTTTTCAGCTGCATCAGCTACCTGATTTGGTTCATCACAACTTAGGCATCACCAGTTAACACAGCTGTGAGCGAGGATCACATTTTAACACATACCAGAGTACTTTTCAGTAATTGTGTGAAAAAAATATACATAACCACGAAGAACAGAAAATGAAGGCATAACTGATTTATGAGCTGAAGGTTCCCTCTCCACTGGGAGTCATTCAGTATCACAGATTGATTTTAAATGTAACAGCATGCTCTGATAATAAAGTCTCAATCTGAAACTGGAAAAGATTGTAGCTGCAAAGGTTGCACCTGAAGGAAAGAGCTGTTTGCTCACTGCTGCATGCAGATGACAAAAGCTGTCCACCGACACAACTTCAAATGCTTATCTGACACTTGCTGATGATCCAAAAAAAAGTCTTGCAGAAGTGAATTACAAGTAACAGTTAAATATCTACAATTACAGGTGGAGTCATCATACTTTCCAAACTTTTCCATCGGTTCCCCTAGCTTAGTAGCATCACTCTTAAATGGATTTTGCTTCAGCCTTTAAATACTCATCCACACTCCAGTCTGTCTAAAACGCTCAGCTAAGAATTCAGGAGCGCCTTCAGGCACAGGCAGATATCAGAATACGTGACAACAACAG